TTCTCATAGATACAAAAAAAAAACGTCAAAATCTCTCAAGCCGTTTCGGAGGAGTATGGCAACGAAAACTGTAACGCGAGAATTTTATATATTAGAAGATTAGCTAACCATGTCTCTTGTTCAAGGCAATTCTAACCTTTAATTTTGAAATAGCTCATTATTTTCCTTAAAGGATTATGCACGTGCAAATTATAACCATTCAGTGTTTTGTATGTCATTTAATACGTAATAAAATAATTACATCACCCAATACATATTAAATACTACTTTCTCTATTTACTATGCTTGAATTCATTAATTCAGCTCATTTAATTTTATAGTACAGGCAATGGCCAACTGATTTAATGACTTGATTTTATTTGAAAATAATCATAAACACACAAATAATTAACTGAATATATTCCAATTTCGAATCAATAAGCTCCTTAAATATAAAATAAACTAAGGTAGGTAACTTAACCATAAAGTTAAGAACGTCATTCAGTTTATCAAAACGCAGTCCTCCAAAGCTTGGCTGTTGTCCATAAATTACCGCTTAACAAAACAAGATGGCGGGCGCGTCGGTTGGCGCGCAGCGTTTCCCGGAAACGGTGTCTGCGCAGCGCGGCGGCCATGTTGTGTACGCACGGGACGCTAAACGTGACGCGCACATGCTTACGCTGGCGCTGTAATCAAGCGATATGGGGAGCGAGCGTGGCCCGAGAACATTTTACAACATACTATCTTACATACGTGAAATTATGTTGATCTCGCGTGCATTTTACACTTTTAAAATAAACGTCAATTGCAAATGATAACCAGTTAAAATAAACTTGTATGATTAAGTTTTGGAAATACACGTGCGACCTAATCATTTATAGATATGCAAATCGATAACAAGTAATGGTTACACCTTGACATTTGTTTTTAAGAAATGTTACTTAAGCCAATGCTATTAGTTATTGAAGCTTAATTGTGCTCGTATGGTTCGGCTGACCGGTCTATCACGATGGCCATTCACCAAATAGTTGATTGACCAAGAGCCTATTGTTACATCTGAATTGGATTGCAAGCTTGATCATTTTATTACAACAATCCGTACTGGGTTCAAGTGCCATAAAATCACGTCGAAATTCGATGTAAACAGAAGTATTTGGAACAATGATCATAAAGTGATTGTTCCGATTTTTTTACGATAAAACAATAATGTGCCGGTCATTAACTCACGAAGTAATGACTAATGACCTTTCATTATGCGTTATTCATATTTAATGTTGACTTGCATCCAAATGCAGCTACTTGATAAAGTGCAACATGTTTTTCTTTGTTTCGTAAAGAGTATTATGTTTACATGAATCTGTAGAAAAAGTATTTCGTTGAGGAGATTACTTTGCTTGGTTGTATAGAAACATATTGAATATATTTAAACAGTTACCTCCTTATTACAAAACAAGATTTATATTTAGTCTACGTTTAAACCATAGAGTCAGGTTTTGAATTTTCAATCTTATCTACCTTTAATTCGAAATACAAAAATTGGCTCCAATGGTTTAGACCTAGAATTTATTCAATAAATACTTTTTACATATGCTAGTCTAAAAATTGCTATTTCATATGCATATAGCGCTTTATGTAGTATCTCTTTGTTCATAGTAACTAATCACATCAAACATATTCAACAAGCTGTTCTTTCATATAAATTAATTTCCCAAATCAATGTAATTACTCAATACCATTATCAGTAGAAATTGAAACTAAACCATTCACTGGAAAATGAAACAAATAACAATGTAATTAGAACTCAAATTCGATACTTGTTAAGCTTTACATGCCCTTAACATTAACAGCATTTTTATAATGTAGGAACAGCCCCTGCAATTGTAACAAAACAAATAATGCATCAGCTCAATTATTGAATACTGGCGAGATCGTATTCTCTCGTATCGCGGCACCGTCCTTCACTGGCAGATGTGCACATTTATTATTATTAGCGGGCCATTGATCGTGTCTACCTGAGCCTGGCTCGGCCCAAAGCACACTATTGTCGAGTTTTTTAGTATATGTACCGAGTACTGTAAGCGTGGGGTGGATGCTTTAGATAGATACTAGTAAATAATAATTATGTTTTTGCTACGAACATTATTTAGATACTAGCTTCTGCCCGCGGCTTCACGTGGTTGGTATGTTGTTGAAAAGAAGCCTATATGTGTTAATCCAGGCTATTGCCTAACTACATACCAAATCCGGCTTCGTCTAGTTTTTTACATTTAATTTTGACGTGTAAAAGTGCCGTTTTATGGCCTATTTACAAAATTATATTCATTGCTTCATTGAACCAAATAGGTACAGCCGTTTTTGCGTTAAAAATAACAAAAATACAAATGTATATACATTCTTACAAACTTTCATATTTATAATAAGTAATTATAGGATCTTATTATAAAGAGTTAGACCCACCGAAAATTATATTCATAACACTGAAATAAATTGTTGCTGTGTGGCGAGTATTCAATTAGGGACATAGGAACTATGACGTGTTATATCCTGTTTATCTACATCTACACTAATATTATAAAGAGGAAATATTTATAGATATTTTTGTCATGAGTAAACTCAAAAACATACATCAGACATATACATCAGACTTTAATAATTCTTCCACTAATGGAAATCACATAAACACCCTCAGTAACATCAATGAAACAATGAATTTATTTTTGCAAATAGGCCATACAACGGCACTCTTGCACGTCAAATTATATATGAAAAACTAGATGAAGCCGGCATTTCCTATCTGACTACTCTGAAAAGAAATGTCGAAACAAACTCAGAGGTCAGTCTCTTTTCAAGTCATCCAAACTAATATTATAAATGCGAAAGTAAATCTGTCTGTCTTTTCTTTCACGCCTAAACTACTGAACTGATTATTGTGAAATTTGGTACAGACATAGTTTGGAACACGAGAAAGGTCATAGGATAGATTTATATAAAAAAATTGCAGGAAGTCACTATTCCACGCGAACGGAGTCGTGGGCAAAAGCATAAAATATAAATATAAAAAGAACTAGTTAGACCACTAATTAGGATATAAGATAAATTGAGTTCGCTGTCACAATACAACCTATCTATATATATTACATATGATAAATCTAGCCTAAGTCACCATTTCGTTTTCATCATAAAATTGCCTATTAAAGACACACATCTCAAGTTTAGCGTAAGTTTATAACTAGCCAATGCAAAGCTGGTACAACAAATATACTACTTATAATTTTATTTAGCTAAAGTTTACGAAATCATAAATTAAAAAAAATCCTTCTACCAACATCATACGGCTGTATGTTATATAGTACTTTTACACTATACAAAAACAAATAGTATAATATAGTAACAAAATCGTGTTAGGTATACGAAATGAAACTAGCGCTATACGTGCTCAATTAAAATGTATAATTGGGAACGAATACATGAAACTGCTCGTTTCAGGTGGAATTTATTGAAACATTTAAACCGTAGCAAACTACACACAACATTGTAGTCTTCAGTATTTATTTACAAATACTATGTACGTACTGGTACATGTGGAATCCATTGTTACCTTGTCAACATTTTCGTCAATTCCAGTGAATTAAAATTACACTTAGGTAAATAATTTAACCATTTTCAATTTGACCATTATAGGCACTTTAGAACGTCAAATGAATATTTTAAGTTAAAAAGTGTCAGTCTGTTGGTCAGTGTTCTAGTGAAGCTATTTGCTCGGTCCGTTCGTAAATCCGTTGCGTAGTTTAAGGAACAAGAGGAAGGTTTTTATATATATTTATATCCATTAAATAGTGGAGAAATTTAGTAGGTATCAACATCGCACCCGTGCGAAGCCAGTAGCTTACAATTATATTAATCATGTATAATTTGTGGCTTACGTCTTCAGACATAAAAAAATATGTGTTTCCATTTTACATTATAAATATCATATTTGCACAAGACTTATCCGAGTATTGCATCTAAGCATAGACTGTGAATAATAAACACGCTAAATCATTCCATTTCATATACATAACATGTCAATTTAAAAACAACACGAAATATAGTTCTTATTATTTAAAAATTTTGTAATAATTCATCAGGCAAATAACCCTTCTATCGTCTCTATTCTAACATTCAAACGCCTTCAATGACTTAGTTTTGCAATAAAACTCAAAAATAATTGGCCCGTCAGGCAGCTCGGAGTTTTTTTCAATAAAGTGTCAGGTAAATCCATCATGGCGACCGCGGGAAACCGGTTTCGTCGAAAATTGCCCTGCGCGTGCGACGCTCAGCCCACACAAAGATACTCGGCTTAGGTAGAATGATTGATGAATTATGTATATTCCAAGTTTTATTAATTGTACCGAGGATTGGAAAACGTTAAAACAACTCCGGTTTTTGTTCTCGAGTCTTTTTAAGCTTACCATGATATTATGATGAACCTGAAATTCACGCAAATAATCTGCAGTAGCATTGTAGCAAACTCATGTATCTGTACTGAACATATTAAACTTTATTTTTTTGTATCTTGAATCTGCTGTAGTGCTTTATTGGTTGAATTTAAACTAATGACTAGTAACTATCGTGAGACATACTAAATTTAATGAAAATAATTACTTAATCACGTGAATTAACTCGTACACTCTACTAGTTTCAAGTCGCAACGGGGCTCTTATTCATGAGCAGAATGCGCGTCGGGACGACGTCCCGCAGCCAACTGACTACTCAGAAATCTTTAATGATTTGACTTTCAACACTTTCGGGCTTTTTAATGTAATTTACTTTTTATTTGTAATGGGTCCTAAAAGGATTGTCATTGTGTTTAGATCTATGTGCAGAAAAATTCTTTTACACACTGGGTACCTACTTTATAATATAAAATCTAACGTTAAACCTCTAATGGATTACGTCCTGGCCTCGACCAACCAAGGTCGCTAGTCGCAAGCAAGTTAATAGCGAGTTTATTCATATATTCTTGTCTCTTTTGTCCACAGAGTGAAAAATGGCTGGCGTACGAAAACTTAAAGGAAGAAATCTTAGAGAAAATAAAGAAACTGGAAGAGGAGCGTCATACGGTGGACCTCTGGTCTTGTGGGCCTGAATGGGGACGGAAGAGGCGCAGGAGACAGGTGACAGTATCCCCTCCCTACGTGGTCTACATGCTCCCGGACGCCGACATCATGGAAGACTGGAGGCTTGTAAGGAAGCTTCTAGAAAGAACTGATTAACGCTCCACAAAGATTTTTCTAGATATTTTTATAATGTAAGGTTAAATCGTGAGAAAGATCTGTAAATAGTGGTGAATTTGCCATTTCAAACTAAGGATTGTATGAGGCAGGTTTTATTAATTAAAAGAAGAGTAAGTTATTCGATTTCAAGGACGGTTTGATTATATTTCTTGAATCACATTTTTGGCGGAGGTACGGCCGTAGTAAAATGCTAATTGTAAACAAAGAAGATAAGTTCAAATAAGAGGACTCGTATAGAATTTATGCAGCTCATAGGAGACATTGGAAAATACAGCCTTGACCAACGGTATTAGGTACATTTCTTCTTGTTGTTAAACCGCCTAAGATATATTAGAACCTTTAGACAAAGCAGTATTAAATTCATATTTGTTTAAAGGAGGTAAAGTATCGTAAGTCACATTAAGCTAATTATTAAATATTTTAAGTCGCAGTGTGCGTTATTCGGGTATGTCACTTGAATACAACAATCGTGTGAAGTTCTAATTAAAATATTCATGACATCTGATCCTGATCGAAGATTCTTAACATATGATCTGGACTTAAAATATACAAGTACTAACGACCCGCCCCGGCTTCGCACAGATGCATTGCTGATAATTAATTTCTCCACTTTTTAATAGGTATTACTATACATATAAACCCCTCCTCTTCAATCACTCTATCTATAAAAAAATCGCATCAAAATCTGTTGCGTAGTTTTAAACATTTAAGCATACAACCCTTTGTACTGCAGAAAGTCGCTTTCTCTGTCCCTATATCACTAAATTAGACTTAATATAGTATACCACAAAGTAGATTTTTAAATGTTTCTATATAAAGTAAAAAGTAGAATTCAAGAAATATAAACTTAGGATACTTTACCTCCGGTATACTTTTTTTTATTATGTAATAGATCGGCAAACGAGCAGACGGATAACCTGATGGTAAGCAATCAGCGCCGCCCATAGACACCCGCAACGGAGGAGTTACGAGTGCGGTACCAACCTCTTAGGGATTAGGGTTTTGGAGATTAAGGGATTGGGGAGGGATCGGGGGAAGGGAAGGATTGGGCCTCCGGTAACCTCACTCACACGGCGAAACACAACGCTGTGGTTGTTTCACGCCGGTTTTCTGTGAGGCCGTGGTATCACTCCGGTCGAGCCGACCTATTCGTGCCGAAGCATGGCTCTCCCACACTTCTCAATACTGATACAGTTCGCTTTTATTACAAACCTGCATATTTATTTTCTACAATCACACTCTGTATATTCTTGATGTATCTCTATAGGTTGCTTTGCTTATGAGTAGGTGTGATCCATCCTAGGTCAAATCATCGCTTACCATCACATTACGAATTAAAAAAAAACCTTCATTGAAACCTTTACAAATCTCTTTTTTCATATCCTTTTTTAATACGCAACTCGACAAGTTCACTAATTAAACAATTTATTTTCTTATCCTTCTTAGATTTAAAATTCCGTAAGTTCGGGTTACATTGACCCTGGAAGGTAACTTTGATCCAAATTTTCGAACCAATGAAAAACGAATATATGTTTGGTTCTCAGTTATTATTGGTTTTAAAGGGTTTGGATCAAAGTTACCCCGCAGGGTCAAAGTAACCCGAACTTACGCGGTTTGCGAAACTTTTGTTCCATTTTAGACTCTCTAGATTTAATCATTACAAACTGCGTATTTTTCTATAGAAGACAACCTAATACTTTTGGTCGATACTGTACTTTTTCTAAAATCTTAATGGACGATATGATTGTGTTTATTTTTGTAAGGTACAAAGCACAAGTGGTTGTGTGCGTTACCGAATTATGAAAGTAATAATCAGGACTTTGTATTCGATGTGTCAATTGTTTCTGCGTAGTATCCACTTCAGGGATTCTTTACAAATGCTGTCGAAATGTTGACACTCAACTTTTATTTGAAGATAAATAAATAAATAAATGTTAAAATGAATTTGTTTTTGGTTTTATTTATTCACTACTCGCTTCGCCCGCGTTTTATGTTGATAAAAAGTAGCCCATGTCCTACTCCGGAGTGTATCCTAAACCTGTGCCAAATCATCCAGATCTTTCCAGCTGTTTTGGCGTGAGTTTTTGATTGAGTTACAAACATCCAAATATCCTAACTTTCGCATTTATTATATAACTAAGATAAGATAAACCTAGTTGGAACTAATGAAAGTTGACTCGTATGAAGATGGAGTCAAAAAGGTAGGTAGAAACTCCGGAATCATGTGAGGGAATAAAATACCTAATTCACTCACTTCTTATACAATATCATAACATTTTATAAGACCCTGGCCTTCTACATTCCACAAGGTCCATATGATAAACTACACCTAATGAGACATTTAAATTATCTAACATAATGTTAGGTTGTGGAATGTACAAGAAATTTTCGTGCGTTTATGCGTTTTTGCCATACCTATTACTGGAAACAACTATAGCAGCTCACGCATAGGTCCCATTGCAATTACAAAGTCGTAAGGTAACTTTGCTGCTGTTGCTTACTAGTAATGATTGTTACTAGTATCTATAACTTTCAAATCAAAGATCAAATGTCATGTGAACACCGACCGTATTGATGGAGCCAGATCCACTTACTGATGGAGCGCAATAGGAACAGAAGACGGCGATGTCCATAGTGTGCAGTAATGATATATCGCCGCCAGAAGAAAACAGAGAAACAGAATGGGGTGAGATTTTAGGAATTAAGACTACCGTTGGCCTCAACCAAGGCAAACATTAAATGATATTAAACATTAGTTGACGCGGTAGCTGGGGAACCGGCTGCCGTGCAACGTGTTGCAGGTTCGATTCCCGCATGGAACAACTCTTTGTGCGATCGACAAATAGTTATTGCGTGTCTGGGTGTGATGTGTATGTGTAAATGAGTGTTTTTCGGCACCCACGACACAAAAAAATTTCTAGTGTGAGGGAAACTTTTTACAATAATAAACTTTTAGTCACCTAGTCTTATTGCGGGTGCTGTTAGATCTGAGTAAAAAGCTACACGTTTATTTTGGCAGGGAACGAGCGACATCACATTCTAATACCCAAAGTATTTTTACCTTTTGAGCCCCAATCCCCAACACTCGATTACTTTTTTCATTGAATACAATAAGCCACCAGAAACCCTCTTATGCAGAGAAGACCTAGAGTAGCCCAGCAGTAGATTATCAGTCTTTTAAAGATAGTAATTAATGGCATGTAAACTGGTGTTCTGGTGAGTAATGGGTTGTAGATGGGTTAACATGCTATACTAAATACTAAGTACTAAACTAATACTTTGGTATAGGTCGGCAAACGAGCATGCGAATTACCTGATGGTAAGCAATCAGCGCCGCCCATGGACGCTCGTAACACCAAAAAGTTACGAGTGTGTTGCCGACCTTTTAGGTTTAAAGGTTTCGGATATTTAAGGATCCGAGGCTTGGCTCTTGTTTCATCAGATTAAGTTCTCAAATCAAAGACAGAGTCGGCCGACTTGATTAGAATTAAACCACGGCCTCAAAGAAAACCTGCGCGATATCCACGCTCCCGGTATATTTCGCTGAATGAGTAAGGTTCAAAGGCCCAATCTTCAATCCCATAATATCGGCAATGCATTAATACCTTTTTCAGGGTTGCGGATGTCTTTGGGCGGTGCTGAATGCTTATTTGGGGATAGGTTTTTTTTTTTGTGAGAGGAAAATCATCAAATGACTTCTCCCGCCCAGGGCCGGGCAGGAGGGAGTGTCAGACTCTTACTGACTAAAAACCCCCCTGTTCCTTCTTCTGCTCTGTGCCGAGGTCGCGGTACCTCATTGCGCTTACCCCGCAACCCCGGCTGAACATCAGCCCTTTAGGGCCCCGTCTGTGGTGGTCGAATGGCTCTTTGAGGCGCGCGCGGAACGCTACGCGCCGTACGCTCGGGCCTGGTTCTGGTCGGGCGGCGAGCTGCCCTTACTCGCCGACCGCAGGCCCGTGCCTACGGTGGCCGGAGATCGTCCCTCGATCCCCGACGCCCGTAGTGTCGCCAGTTGCGGCTGCTGGGGCGTGAGGAGGAGGATTGCTCACTCACGCGGGCCGCCTCTCTCTTTGCGAGCATGACTGCTTCACAAAAGGAGGAGACGGCGTCCCAGTTCCTCTCATTCCGCACCATGGCCTCGACTAAGGCCGGGCGCGAGAGGTCGCCGCCGCCGATCACTTCCCTGAGGATACGGCGGTGCTCAGCCCAGGCAGGGCATACCGCTACCGTATGCTCCACCGTATCCTCTAGGTGGTCCTCACAATGACGACACTCGGGCGTTTCCTCCCGCCGGATCCGAAATAGGAACCTACCGAAGCTGCCGTGCCCGGTAAGCACCTGCGTCAGGCGGAAGGTGAGGACGCCGTGGCGTCTCTCAAGCCACTCCTCAAAGAGGGGTCTTACCGCTGCTATAGAAGCGTGCCCGGCCCTCGGTTGCGACAGTCGCTGCTTCCACCCAGCCATGAGATCTCAGTAACAGGCAGTAAACGGCAGGAGGCGTTTGGCCCCCCGAGGTTGGGAAGGAGCCGCTTGAGCGCGGCCCCAGACCGTTCCAACTTAGGAGCCAAACGACGAAAATGCTCCGTGAAGTTCCATCGGCTGTCGAGGACGAGACCCAGGTACTTCATCGCCGACTCGACGCCGATGGTAACTCCTCCTGCCGTTATTTGGGACCCAGGTGGCACGTTCCGCCGGCCATAAAAAGACATGGCCTCGGACTTGTGAAGCGCCACCTCGAGTCCCAACTGCCGGATCCTTGCAACGACTGTCGCAGGTCGGCCGCCGCCTGATGTGACCTCCCATTCGCCAGCACCAGCGTGTCGTCAGCATAACAAACAATGCTGACGCCGCTCGGGAGGTCGGTGCGTAGCACCCAAATTTGGGGATAGGTAAGGCTGCTTTTTTGCAAATAAAAAATAACATTATTTTTATGTTATTCCTTACTGAGAGCTGCTGTAACTTATTATACTTTAAAGTTGCGCGTTGCATAGTAATACTTAATACTTAACGTGGTGCTTGTGACTAGTTGTGACCACGGCAGGCGTAACCCTGCCGAAACGTCAAGCAAAAAACAAAAGCTACGTGCGCGTTAGATCCCGTAATACAGTAAAGTATTGTAACTTACATTCCCGTCACTACAGTTACATTATATATAGGTACATTTTATGTATAGGTATGTACCTACCTATTTATTTTCATGTACTCATTCAACACTGTATCTGTATAAGCTAAGCGGCTTGATTGATTTCAATTATTCTACCGTTGAGTTTGTCGTCAAGTGGAATTGTGTGACAATATGCTAAAACGTTTCGAAGAATACATACTATGGTGATTTTGGTGGTTTTCTTCCTCGTTTATTATGATATCGCGAATGCTATCTACGATGCCAAATCTCATCACATCACCAACCTATAAGTGCAAATGAGCAAAGAGAGAACTTCTCACACAGAGAAACCCATATCCCTAAAAGGCCGACAAAGAAATCGTCCTTGGGCGGCTCTGATTGCTTACCTTCAGGTAACACGTCTGCTCGTTTGTCGACTTATACAATAAAAAAAGAGAATGTTTGAGTATTTATATAATTAGAACCTATAATAAGTCCAGTTTTCCTCACGCTGTTTCCATTCACATTCTGTCTGTGATATCTACGATGTGTTTAGTTATATTACCCAGCGGTATAGATTCTAAATTTTAATAGTATTGGATTTAAATTCACAACTATATCTCTAACAACGAAAAGGTCACTTTTTCAGATTTCAACTTTTATAATATTTTCTTTCATAAGAACCTTCTTCTAACAATAAGAATTGGTAAAATTGGACCAGGCGTTGTTGAGTAACGCGCTTACTAACTTACTTTGCGATTAAAAGTTATATAGACATCATGGTCTAAAATTCTAACGACTAAGGTAAAGGTATATCTATGCGACAAATAGCACTGCGTTAAAACACGGTGTTATTTCCAGGTATTTTCTATGCACATGCCAAATTCACGCGGCTTGGTAGCAGAAGAAGGAACGGGGAGGTTTTTAGGCATCATCCAGGGCAGGAGATGGAATTGTATGAGTGTACCCATTAAAAAGGAGTTCATCGATCAACAAAAAATAATTGAGGTTTTTGCTTGCTAGTCTGACAAACAAGTCTCTTAAACTTTCGCATTTGTAATATTCGTAGTTATACATGATTACATACATAGAAGGTACATACATACATATATATATCTAACCTGTCCCCTTTACTGCTTATAAGTAATGTTACAGTATTAAGATATGTAGACATATATATCGTTATGTAGACAAACAGTTACAATGGCGGTCAATCTCATCGTTACCCAAGCAAATTACCCGGAAAATTGAATTGATATTGTATGGCTACATACCGCATGCTAACCACACACGAATACCGAGTTCCTAAGTACTTGAGTGTCGTGTCATACAGTACCTACTAGGTTACGAAACCAACTTACTAAGTTTTTTTATGGTATAGGTCAGCAAACGAGCAGATTAAAGAAAGAAAGAAAGAAAAATAATTTATTAACACCGTAAAAAAAATTACAAACAAGAAAATTAGGTACAACTTATATGAAAAGTATGCACGGCGCAAAAAGGCCAAGTGCTCAGCTAAAATGCCGTGACCCGAGAGCAATAACTCGAGTCGCGGCGCTGGTTTTCAGCTCTAGCCCCGTCACTACATTAATAATAACAGATATATAATATGAAAATACATAATTGTTATACAAAATTAATTTTATAGTAATAGTATATTAAAAAAATTGTCGATGATAACAATGGCTTTGACACTTGAAGAGTTAACGCTGACAGATTGGCATTGACATTATGAGCTACCCCAAGCGCACGTGACTACGCGGTAATGCGGTAAATAAAAAAAGAATGGCGTCCCCAATTACACAATACACAATACAGATTACGTGATGGTAAGCAATCAGCGCCGCCCATGGACACTAAAGTAACGAGTGCGTTGCCGGCCTTTTAGGGATAAGGGTTTTGGATATTTAAGGATTGGGAAGGGAAGAGGGGAAGGGAAGGATTAGGTCTCCGCTAAACTCGCTCACACGGCGAAACACAACGGTCTAGTGTTTCACGCCGGTTTTCTGTGAGGCCGTGGTATCACTCAGAGAGACAAATGGGTCGAGCCGACCCATTCGTATTTTAAAATTAAACCCATTTATTACGGACAGCACTGATCCATGTGTTGTTAGTACTACAATTAACTTAGGTAAATCCTAGTATTAGTAATTGGGATAGAAAAGCCTACCTGCACGTCGATTCTATAAAATTTGTTTGATTTTGAATCTTGTTCGAGTGTGAAGTGAGCGTCCAAGTGACCGAGTAATTAAATTTTAGAATGCCACTTTTAAAGTCATCTCATACTTTATCTATCAATATGTTGCTGTCAATTTAGTTCAACTCGCAAGTGTAGCGCTAGTGTACCACTACTCACAGCGGATTCAGATTCGAAGTTTAGAATAAAGTCTTACAGAATCACACCACTGATCACTATCCGCATAAAATTTTTCATGTTTGGGGGTTGTACCATAGATGCTCTCCGCCATTGCTCTGTTTTTACTTTCTACTAGCTACTCTCGCGCGGTTTTACCCGCTGCTCGGCTCCAACAGATCGTAGCGTGATGTTTTACAGCCTAAAGCCTTCCTCAAGAAATGGTCTATTAAACACAAAAAGAATTTTTCAATTCGAACCAGTAGTTCCTGAGATTAGCTCGTTCGAACAAACTCTTAAGCTTTATAATATTGTAGATTTTGTATGAAATGTTTCCAAATTTTCTCATCATTTAAAACTTATCTGATTATTTACGTATTTTTCCAAACCAAAATTAAGTATATCGGTCCTGTCGTTTCATTGGTTTAGCTAGACTAACAAACAGCAATATTTTTTAATGTATAAAATGTTACTTTTGTCAAAATGAGTACCTAATATGTAAAGATAAATGACGTCAGCACAAAGAAAATATAGGTACTAGAACCATGTAATGTGGCGTTTTGTTACTACCTACCTCTGAGGCAAACCGGTCGTATTTGACACCAACGCTCGGAAGGAAGTATGGCAGAGCAAGGAGCTTCACGGACGCTTTTTCCGAGCCCTACACGGGCCGGATGTAGACCAGTTAGCGACCGTAACCAGGCTGCGACTCGGTGACCTCTTTGGGGAAACCGAAGGATTTGTCAGAGCAATTATGGACGAAGTTATCATGACGAATAACTACCGGAGATTTATTGTGAAGGACGGCACGGTTGACATTTCTCGGGCATGTCACCGTCCGGGAGAATCAATTCGTCACATAATCTCTGGTTGTTCTTGTCTAGCTAACGGCGATTACTTGCATAGGCATAATCTTGTAGCCAGGATCATACATCAGCAGCTTGCTCTGAAATAATCTCTTGTGGAATCGGAAGTGCCGTACCTACTACAGGTATGAGCCCGACCCAGTTCTTGATAATGGTCATATCACTTTTTACTGGGACCGGTCTATCATCACTGACAGGACTATTGTGGCCAATAAGCCTGGTATGGTGGTGGTGGACCGAAAGGAGAGGCGTGCAATGATTGTTGACATAGCCGTCCCACATGACGAAAACCTTGTGAAAACCGAGAAAGATAAACTGATCAAGTATATCGACTTGGCACGCGAGGTTGTCGACATGTGGGAAGTGGACTCAGCTATCATTGTACCAATAGTCGTGTCAGCCAATAGCTTAATAGCCAAGAGCATCGACCAACATCTTAGGAGGCTATCGTTAGGTGGCTGGATCAAGGGCTTGATTCAGAAAGTGGTACTCCTGGACACGGATCGTATTGTCAGGACCTTTCTCTGGAGCCCTGACCGCCGGTAGCTTGGACCCTGTTCCCGATACCGGTGGGACACAATTTTTTATATTTTTAAATGTTTTTTATTATTTATTTTTAAGAAATAATTAAAAATGTAAGTTATATATTCATATGCTGAATAAAGAATTTAATATGAAAGTTTGTGAGAATATATGGTACATCCATAACGTAGGGATACGTTTGGCCAGGCAACGCCAGGCAAATAGCAGGACTCGGTTCCCGAAAAAAACACACCGACGGCACAGAAAAAACGAAAAACGGGGTTCGTTAATAACTTCTCCCTCCCAGGGTAAGGCGAGAGGGAGTGTCAGACTATTACTGTCTACTACAGACTAAAATCCTCTCATTCCTTATCCTGTTTAAGGCCGAGGCCGCGCACAAAAACAGGCTTACCGTATGCAAAATACTCATTATATAAATACTAACTATACTTACAGACAAAATTGATGGCCCGTTTATTAGACACTGGTAAACATGTGCGTCCTGATGTCCATTTCAATAATTGATAAAAATTTAAATATTAACTAATGTTTCCTATCTAACATTAGTTAATATTTTAACTAAAAACAATTAAATTTATATGGATCTCTGGTCCGAAATATAAAAAAAGATTAAATTAATTCTTCTTCTATTTTAAATTTATAAAATCGAACGGGAAAGTTAGTACGGATAAGTATGGATGTTTGTAACTGTATGAAATTTGGCTTAGTTTTTTTTTCTTTTAAAATATGTATGATTATAGTCCGGAAAAACATGTTAGAGGCACATTGGCCTGTGAATTGCAATTAGTTAAAGCATTCGTTTTTGTTCCCTATATGGGAGTTGTAAGTATTATAAGAGACGTGACAGGGCAGCAAAATAAGGTACTACCGCGGCCTCGGCCTAAGCATGAGAAGCGAAAAGGGGTTTTTAGTCAGTAAGAGTCTGACACTCACTCTCATTAGAAAATATTGATTTCGTTGCTAAAAACCTTTACCTACATACAAAATTTTCATCGAAATCTTTAAGGCGTTTTCGTGATCATGTACATTTAAGTATATGCAAGAATTCCACGTTTAATGGTATTAGACTAGATAAATATAAAAATTATCCTTGGTTTAATGCTTTTTCTGTTTGCCTTCTTTACGCACAGATGGTTCTTAAGTAATTCCGATTACCGCACATTTTTTCTTAAAATGTAGGTATACAGTATTTATTAAATGCGATACAAATTGTGACGTCTCTACTACATTTTACTAATTATTCATTTTATATAAATTTACTTTACTAGGTTTCGACCGCGGCTTCGCCCACGTGGTATGTTGAAAAAACCCCTATGTTCTATTCTGGACTGTATCCTATACCTGTCCCAAATTTCTTCCAGATCCGTCTAACCGTTCTGGCGTGATTGAGTAACAAAAATCCAAACATCGTAACTTTCACATTTATAATATTAATAAGACAAGATTGCATGAGGCCGTGGTGCGGAGTGAGAGGAACTGGGGCGCCGTCTCCTCCTTCTGTGAAGCATTTATGCTCGCAAAGAGAGAGGCGGCCCGCGTGAGGGAGCAATCCTCCTCCTCATGCCCCAGCCGCCGCAACAGGCGACACTCCGGGCGTCGGGGATCAAGGGACGATCTCCGGCCACCGTAAGCGCGGGTCTGCGGTCGGCGAGTAAGGGCAGCTCGCCGCCCGAACAGAACCAGACCCAAAGAGCCAATAGACCACCACAGACGGGGCCCTATAGAGCTGATGTTCAGCCTCAGTTCAGAGTTCGGGGTTGTGGGGTAAGCGCAATGAGGCACCGCGACCTCGGCCCAGAGCAAGAGAAGGAATAGGGGGGTTTTTAGTCGCTAAGAGTCTGCCACTCCCTCCCGCCCGACCCTGGGCGGGAGAAGTCATTTGATGATTATCCCCTCACAAAAAAAGACAAGATTACATAGCATACTTACAGCAATACATTGAACACTATTAAATAATGTTGTGATTACAATGTATTAAAGAAACTTGGCCACGAGTAGTGAAGTGTACAATCAAATCAAATATTAAATAATTAAGTGAGGAAACCTGGACTTATAATTTCTAATTATAAGTTTGAAATCGCCAACCCGCATTGAGCCAGCGTGGTGATCAATGCTCAAACCTTCTCCGTATGAGAAGAGGCTTTTGCTCAGCAGTGGGCACTTATAGGCTGATGATGATGGTGTGACCACACACTGACATACGGTGAAGGAAAACATCGTGAGGAAACCTGAACTTAAATCGCCACTCCGCCTTAAGCAAGCGTGGTGATCAATGCTCAAACCTTCTCCGTGTGAGAAGAGACGTTTACTCAGCAGTGGGCACTTATAGGCTGATGATATGATGTGTTTAAATAGATACTGTTACACTTTGACCTTGACTTTTCTTACCTGTCCTTGAGCTTGGGCGTTGTTGGGATCCCCTGACTCTTTGCCCCATGAGCACTTGACTGGCTGTCCATTAACATCGGTATTGTGGACAGCAACGATAGCATGCGTTGCACTCTCCTTGGTCGAAAATCTGTGAAAGAACAATAGCATTGAATACAAAAGTCCTCCCTAACAGGGGTGTGATTCTGTAAGACTTCATTCTAAACTTCGAATCTGAATCCGCTGTGAGTAGTAGTACACTAGCGCTACACTTGCGAGTTGAACTAAATTGACAGCAACATTTTGATAGATAAAGTATGAGATGACGTTAACAGTGGCATTCTAAAATTTAATTACCCCGTCACTTCGACACTCATTTCGCACTCGAACAAGATTCAAAATCAAACAAATTTTATAGAATCGACGTGCAGGGCCCTATAGAATAGTCCACTTTAAGTGTGAGAGAGCTATGCTTCGTCACGGGTGACTAGACTGGAGAGATACTACAAAAACCGTTGCGTTACGCCGCGCCGTGTAAGTGGGGTTCCCGGAATTATGCACTTAAACCTCTAAAAAATCTTCATCCCTATAAAGCCAGCAACGCACTAGTAATCTCTCTAGCGGCACCTCTAATTGTTTACCATCAAGATAAATAAAGTAATACATGTTTTTATTTAGTTAAATATAAAATAATATTTAATAACTATTTTATAATCTTAAAGTCGGGGCCAAGTAAAAGAATAATACTTAGTGTAAAGATATTAAGTACCTACATACCTCTTGCTAGTTTGATGATTAGTAGTATTCAATATATTTTTCTAATACTCTTATTGTTTGGTATGTAGTAATTACTTGGCACCGACTTCAAAATTATAAAATAGTTATTAAATATTATTTTATATTTAATTAACTAAATGAAAATATGTATTACTTTAAGCCTTTGACTGCCGACAGAAAACTGTTGAAGGCAAATCCTCCGCTAACGGAGGTCACCGCTGACCCCCGTGGCGGTTAACGTGATAATGGAAGGTAGCAGGTTTTAATTTTTCAGAGAATAGTGAGGCAAACGAGCTATCGGATCACCTGATGGTAAGCAATTAGACATCCACAAAACCATAGGAATCAAAGGCACGTTGACGGACTCCTAAGAAGAAGTATGCTCTTTTCTAAAAGATCGTATAAGTTCGGAAATACCACCGTCGAAAGATCATTCCAAAGTTTTGCTGTGCGAGGCAGAAAGTTAAGCATGGCAGTTTTTGACTGCCAACCATCTACATGATGACTTGAACTCAGACTTACCTTATGAAAGCGTATCCCTTATCCTTGAAGACACGGATCTCCTGGATGGTTCCAAATGGCTGGAAGGTCTTCTGCATCAGTTCCTCAGTAAGGCCTGTAGTCAGGCCTCCACAGTAGACCGTGCAGTTAGTTGGTGAGCTCTGGTTGTAGACCTCATCGAAAGTCAGGGGTTTTGAATTTACTGTAACAAAGAATCAAGGTCAAAAATCAATGATTGAAGGCGAAAGTTGAATAATCGAAGGTCGACATTGATTGTTATTATACTTTTAATTTTACTGTAAAAAAATTCAAGGTCAAAGTTGAAAGTCGAAAAGTCAAAAGTCGAAGGTCAAAGTGAATGTGGCTAATACTACGCTTTTGAGTGTAGATTGATATCTTTTTTATGTGATAGGTCGGCAAACGAGCAGACTCATTACCTGATGGTAAGCAATCACGCCGCCCATGGACACCCGCAGCGGAGGAGTTACGAGTGCGTTGCCGACCTTTTAGGGATTAGGGTTTTGGAGATTTAGGGACTGGGGAGGGATTGGGGGAGGGGAAGGATTGGGAAGGATTTAAAATATGAATGAATTGTGTAATTCTAAATAAAATAAAATAAAAGGCAATAAGTCATAAATTCTGGTTTTTCCTTTACACCATGTTTTTTTTATTAGTGAGATAATTAATTAATGCCCAAGTTTTTCTTCTACTATAAAGTGTGTCTTTTATGAATAATTAATTTTTTTTCAACACTTGATTCATGTATTTCCGTGCTAACTTAATATTATTTTTATAATTATTGACATTTTATATCTGAAAACCAAGGACAATTTTCTGCGAAACCAGCTAGCAACCACATAAAATTCGACCAAATAAAATATTTTTCATAACCGTTATTTTTATTTTTAAATTCAGAAAAATAATTATTTATACTTATAACAATTTAGTATTTGCGTATGAACATAACAAACTTCCTGATTAAATATAAAATTTAGAAAACCCCCGACAAAAAATCTAATATTCCTTTAAAGAATAATAATTAAAAGAAAATGTGGCGTTGGGGACCGATCCATACATTTTATTATCAATAACATATTTCTATTTTGTGGGGGGTCTAGTTTATTTTTTTATTTTATACTTTTTAGGTATATCATTTCCTCTCGATTAAGTCATCAACATTCCCTTTCAGTGCGCTTTCATTTGAGACCCCACTCGAGTATATTTGCAGACCTTCGGTTACCCTTCCCCACTTATAACTTCTAAACGGCTCAACCGATATTCGTCAAACATGTATAAGAACACTCGCACGTAAGTCACCTTTAATACAAAAAAAACTAAATTGAAATCGCTTCACCCGTTCAGGCTCCAGGATGCCACAGACAGACAGACAGACAGACAGACAGACACGTACACCCCTCTTTTTGCGACGGGGGTTAAAAAATGAATTCGAACACCACTTTATATAAAAAAAACGTTTTTAACGGTTTTATGACTTTTAATGGCTTTTTCTACAAAAGCAACCAGTGACAGCTTTTTATACCGGATAAAAACTTTATCGTAACGAATCATATTTTTTTCATCACATCATCAGTAACTTGCGACATTACGTATGTACCTATATAAGTATTATTGCTGGACAAAGAACTTCTTTCTTATATAAGAGGGCTTCCCTTATCTCCAATCTTTATAAGCGAGTTGGGGATTGACGTTAAATGGGTCAGCTTCATCAGTAATTAGTCCTTTAGTCGGCTCTAGCGATACCCACGACAGGAGGAGGGGAAAAAATAAACTCTTAGTAAAACTTTATCAACTTTTTACGTGATATATGCATATACATAGCAATTACAAAATGTTAAATTTAAAAATCCATTTAATCTTCCTTTATATTTAGTTGGGACGTTATTTATTTTATAGTCGTATGTCCGTTCGTGATTGTGTTACGGTTTTAGCGGTAAAGAGGTCAGTGACTCTTTACCAAAATGGCGGACGCAAGTCAACTTGCGAATGTATAGGTGCTCTATGGATTTTTTCTTTAGAACTATATTTGTTTATGTGTATTAAGATTGAATGACGTTACTGTACGAAAAAAAATTGTTGTATAGTTAGCTAATATATTTCTTCTAAGAGTATATTTACTCGTAAATTAAAAGTACTTAATTCTATCGAATTAGGAAAATGAGTGTCTCTTTCTTGATGATCTCTTTCATGATCAATAATTACTTATCATTGATATATATTGATACTTAATATATAGGTAAAAAATGTAATATTTTAGATACGGACACTGTCAAAGTAATTATTTTTGATTATCCTTTAATTTCATATGATTAAAGCGAAAGATATTAAATTAATGTAAATAAAATTAAAAATAGAATGTAAATATTCACGAAAGAGGTTATATTATGACAAAGAAACTACAAAGTTCACGTGGCGCGTGAAAGGTTAAATAAAAATATGTCGTAACTTGCTTTATTTAGACTCAATATTTATAGCAAAACTTGCGAAACGGATACTGTTACAAATTTTATTTCGGATATCCGATAGTTTTGGATACAGTTACAGAGCTGAATAACATTCCTGAATTATTAAATACATTTATAAAAATGTAAAAGAATTTACAGTAGGTATGCTGTTTTTATAATTTATATCGCTTGAAATAATGCTATATCATAGGTAATGAAAGAATTAAACAAAAAAAAAGTCAAAATCATTAAAAAAAAAAGCTGACTGACTGAAGAATCGATCCCATGCTTTATCCGTAACCACGTCAGGTCAGGTAAGTCAGGACTGTTTTAATGTTTTTGTTTTAAGTAGGTAGCTGAGCTTTTTTGTTAAAGGAAAATCATCAAATGACTTCTCCCGCCCAGGGTAAGGCGAGAGTGTGAGACTCTTACTGACTAAACCCTTCGACTAAACCCCCCCGTTCCACCCCGCCCCGCAACCTTGACTGAACAGAGGCCCTGTAGGGCGCCGTCTATGTGAGCTTTAAATAATTTTAAGTAGCCATTGTTTTTAGAAGACTATATAAAAAAGCACGTCTTTAATATTTTCTTAATAACAATCTGACGGACTTCATATTTTATTTTAAATTTTCACACCCTGTTATTATCCATTTCTATTGTCCGTCATTTGTTTCCTCAATGAAGTTTGATGCTTGATCTTGTACACTGAAAATAATGACGAATTTTCTACAACTCAATTGACTGCACGACGCGTAGCCGCGACGCGTACGCTGCGCATGACTAAGAGTCCCGCTGTGACTTGAAACTAGTAGAGCTTTTGTCAATTTATTTACGTTATTGGAGGTCCAATCCCTCCCCATCCCTTCCCAACGTAATTATCCGAAACCCTTATACCCCTGAAGGCAGGCTACGCACTTGGTGAGGCTTTCATTTGGTGTTGAGGCTGTCCATGGGCGACGCCGATTGCTTACCATCAGGTAATCCGTATTTTTTTTTAATTTAGTAAGTTTCAAAATTGTTATCCTATTCAAATAAAAAAAGAAATTTAAACTATTTCATTGCATAATTTTAACTGTTAGGAGTAGGTATTTCCGCCAACTACATACATTCAATTTAAAACAATAGACAAACAAGAATCGGAATAAACAAATCGAATAGAAAACCTTTTCAATTAGATAATTGAAAAATATTGCCACAGTTAGCTGTGGGATGTTGTGTAAAATCCCGTTTTATATTTTTTCCCCAATGTTACCAAGCAAACATTTATTTCATTCACATGGCAAGCTCTGCCGCTGATTGACTTTTTAATTAAAAATTTACACCTTTGTTACAAAATTGACAGTGGGTTTTTTTTTATATTTGCTATCTGTGGAAAATTTGACCGGCCATTTTCGTAATGTCGGGGTATTATGTTACTGCAATCAATTTGCAACTAAACTGCAATAAATACTTTGAACTTTGTGAGTAAAAATATCTTTCGCAATATTTATTTAGATTGATATCTATAAATACGCAAGAGAAAATAGAGACGTTTGAAAAAAAAGTTAGTAAATTTTCAAGAAGTAATGAAGTATACTGACTTTCATTAAGTATGTAATTATATCCGAAAAAAGGGTGAAGGAAAATAATATCTTCATTCTTCTCATTTTTTATCTGATACGACCTATCAGCAAAGGAACAAACGGATTACCTGATGGTAAGCATGTTGAATTTGCCCATAGACGCTCGTAATACCAAAAGAGTAAAAACAGTTGCCGGTCATTTGTAGGTTATTGGAGATTAAAAGATGCGAGGCTTACTCACACAGCAAACATTAAGTAATATTGTTCCACGCTAATATTCTGTGAGGCCGTATTATCACTCCGGTTGAGCCGGCACATGCATGCCGAAACATGGCTCCACATTTATTTTATGAGTTTTTAAAAGTATTAAATTATTTATTGCATTTTATTTCCAGCATCAAAATGTAGATAGCGTCTTTTTGTCTGTCTGCCTTCGAGAAGCACTCGTAATTGAACTCATATTAATATTGTTTTTGTAGATAATTTTTAAGAAATTAATATTACGATATTTAACGCAAAATACATGTTGTCAGAACAAAGGGACACACGTCAGGTTTTTTGGCGTTTCAAAATTACCTATTTATGGTTTAGTTGGAATAAATGTTTTTATCAAACAAGCGTAGACATTGTTTATAACAGTAAATTGCTAATACCTTAAAAATTGATTTTGTAATTAACTATTAGGTACTTCTATATGTATATTATTGTATTAATTTATTATTAATAAATGTGTCTTTGTGTCTCATAAGTATTTCACGAGGCAACGAAGCGATTTTTCTTTTCCCATTTTATATCGTACTAGCTACTCTCGCGGTTCCACTCGCTGCTCAGCTCCATTTGGTTCTAGCATGATATTTTATAGCACTCGGGAACAATGTAGCGATCAATAAGTGAAAGAATTTTAGAAATACGACCAGTGGTTCCAAAGATTACCCCTATCCCTACATACAAACTTACAAACCTAGACCCAATAGACCACCACAGACCCAATAGACCACCACAGACCCAATAGAACACCACAGACCCAATAAATTCCGGATGCAAGCGCAATAGTTAACCTCGGCCCCGCCCTGGGGCAGGTGAAGAAAATGGGTGATTTTTAATCAGTAAATAGTCCGACACTGCCTCTCGCCGAACCCAGAGTGGGAGAAGAAAGAAAAGCTTTTAGACCTACTCCGGAGATTTGATATGACCTGACGCACTATGATAATTAAGTCCTTAAAAAAGCAACATTTCTTAATTAAAAACAACCATAAATAACTAAGATACGGTCTAACGTGGCTGTGGAGTAAAAAATGTATGTACAACGTATATATTACAGATATATTTTCATTATATTTATAACGTAATTTAAAACATAAAAACGCCTGTGCAGCTGAGTAAGCTGGATAAGAATTCCAGTTTAGCTGCCAGACCGTACCCAGCAAAAATATTACGTTTCTCTTTGCCCCAGGACCGAAATGTTTTATAAATAACCATTTATAATATATTATAAACACTTCAACCTAAATGGCTACAAATTGCAATCACCATTTTTTTATATTTAAACACCAAATATTAACAATTCTATATATAAAAGAAAGTCGTGTTAGTTACACTTTTTATAACTCAAGAACGGCTGAACCGATCTGGCTGAAAATTCGTAGGGAGGTAACTAAGAACTGGGAGAAGGACATAGGATAGGATAGAGTAGGTAGAGTAGGGTAGGTAGAGTAGGGTAGGTAGAGTAGGGTAGGTAGAGTAGGGTAGGTAGAGTAGGGTAGGTAGAGTAGGATAGGTGGAGTATGGTAAGTAGAGTAGGGAAGGTAGTCAAATGACGGGAGCGACGCCGCGGGTAAGAGCTATAGTTATACATACTAAAAGAAATTCTTTGTGCTAGTTAATTACCGATAGGTAACCCTTTTAGTTTAGTTTAAAAAAAAAGAAATTTGTATTGTTTCTTTTTCAAAACTAAAAAGGTTAGTTTAATTGTTTAGTAGGTAAACATTTATGCCACTGTTGTTTTTGTTAACATTTTTAGATATTTAAGTGTGGGAGAGCCATGCTTCGGCACGAAAGGGTCGGCTCGACCGGAGTGATACCACGGTCTCACAGAAAACCGGCGTGAAATAACCACAGCGTTGTGTTTCGCCGTGTGGGTGAGGTTACCGGAGGCCCAATCCTTCCCCTCCCTCAATCCCTAAATCACCAAATCCCTAATCCCTAAAAGGTCGGCAACGCACTCGTAACTCCTCCGTTGCGAGTGTCCATAGGCGGCGCTGATTGCTTACCATCAGGTAACCCGTCTGCTCGTTTGCCGACCTATTACATTAAAAATAAATTCTTAATTTTACACTATTCCCCGCCTGACTCTTCTAAGTTTTAATTGTAAATAAATAACACTATTAATTTTATGGGATTAGGTGGCAACCATTCAGAAAAATCACATGATGGCGGTAATCATCGTCACTCACGGACACCCATAACTTCAGAGGTCTTTCACTAGCTAACCGACCATTAAGGGGTTAGAGATTAGGGTTCCGGGTCTGCGGACGGCGAGTAAGGGTACCTCACCAGAACCCGACCCGAGCGTACCGCGCGTACCTCAAAGAGCCAAAAGTAAACCAGAGACGGGGCCCTACAGGGCTCATGGTTGCAGCGTAAGCGCAATGAGGTACCGCGTCTTCGGCCTAGAGCAAGAGAAAGAACGGGGGTGTTTTAGTCAGTAAAAGTCTGACATTTCCTCTCACCTCGCCCTGGGCGAGAGAAGTCATTTGAGGATTTTCCCCTGATAAAAAAAGTGTGATGAGGCGATGGCAGCATAAAATCTCCGGTAACCTCATCCACACGTCGAAACGTAACGTAAGCGTTTTTCACTGTATCTTTATACATATATAATATATACTATAATAACTAGAAATCAATATCGATTAAGACGGTAGGTACATAATGAAACTCACGCGCATGTAATGTTTATATGCTTAGCTGTTGCATGACGCGCTCCAGCGGATGGTGTGTGTCCGGAATCGGACGATTAGCCTGAATTGAAAACGGCGTTCACACACTCAACCTGTTCGTTGAACAGCGTGTTTTCCTATGTACCCTACTAATATTATTAATGAGAAAGTTTGTGAGAATGTATGGATGTAGATATGCTTGTTATAGTAGTCGAAACGAGGTAATCCGACAGAGAACTAATGTTATCGACATAGCCCAAAAATAAGGGTTAAGTTAAATAAAAGGGTTGCGGGGTAAGCGCAATGAGGCACCGCGACCTCGGCACAGAGCAGGAGAAGGAACGGGGGGTTTTTAGTCAGTAAGAGTCTGACACTCCCTCCCGCCCGGCCCTGGGCGGGAGAAGTCATTTGATGATTTTCCCCTCACAAAAAAAAGCCCAAAAATGTTCAAACTGAAGTGGCAGTGGGCCGGTCACGTCAGTCGAAGAACCGATGACCGTTGGAGTTGACGTGTTCTAAAGTGGAGACCACGTCTAGGCTAAAGTAGTGTAGGGCGCTTTCCAGCTAGATGTACTGCCGGTATCTGCGGAGTGGCTGGCAGTGGTTGGATGAGAAGAGTTGAACATCGAGCTTAGTAGCGTGCTTGTGGAGGTCTATGTCAGGCAGTGGACGAAATCAGGCTGATGATGATGATGATGCTTGTTATTCTTTCACGCAAAGACGGCTGGTAAAATATAGGGAATACCCTGAACTAACACATAGACTGCGTTTAATCAACATACCACGCGGTCGAAACCGCGGTCACGCTAGTATGTTATAGATAACAATCACAGGATTAAATATTTAGCGATTTCTTTTCTCTGTCTTGACGAAACGTTGTATTAAATGTACCTATCTAGTTTTACACAGGAATATGCTATGATATGTTTTAAATAATTCAGTGATCAAAATAATGTTGTAAAATAATTATTTTGAAGACTTAATTTACAAACGGTGATTTTCTTTTATTTCTGTAAGTATTAAATATACTAACATAACTAAACATTTATATGTCTATTTATATCTATAAGTTTTTTACATAGTCGTATATTTTCGAAGGTAATATTGTATCGATATTAATTACCACTTAAAAGTGGTGTAGTTAATAAACATTCTGTACAATATTGACAATAATATAATGATACTGTAACATATTTAAAATTGAATTCTTTTTACATTAAGGTTTGGTTTCATATTTTTAAAAGACGAAGACAGAAGGTAGACTTTATCTTTTCACTTTTACTTTGACTATATCCTAAATTATTAGTTAATTTAAATTAATATTATTACCATAACTATTATGTGAACCGTATTTACAAAAACTTTAATTGTGTACCGTGAATTCTCCTAATATATAGCCTATGTTCACTGAGGATAACGTAGCTTATAATCTTACCAACAGTGAAAGAATTTTTCAAATAGGTCAAGCAGTTTTTGAGCCTATTTGTAACAAACAACGAACAATCAAAGCTTTCCTCTTTTTGATATAAGTAAAGAAGTATAGATTGTGTACTCTAGGAAAACCTACAGTTCGTTGTTAAAGTGTCTGTAGGTGTATACACATAAATTAAGTCAGCCTTTACATATTTAGATTGCCCAAATTAAATTTCTCGTACATTGGATTCTGTATTAAATGTTGCAACAAAATTCCAGGTGAAATACAATAACTTAAGAAAGGAAATTTAAGTTATGTATAAAAGGAAATTTATGTAGACAAGCCATCGCAAACTACATACATGATTATATAGATTATCGGGGATAAAAATAATCGGAGGTTTACTGGTTCTGCTCCAAAGGATAATATACGCGAAAATTACACTAACTTCTGGCCTTCTAGAGAATATGCTCTGGGTCTCTGCGGAAAATCCAAAATGTGAACGCAAAGAACCAAAGCTACTTACATAGCTCGTAAAATCTGCAGGCTAAAGGACGGCCGATGGGCCCGAAAAGTACTCGAGTGACCTAGGACCGGAAAACGTAGCGTGGGTAGGCCTCCAGCTAGGTGGACTGACGACATTGTCAGAGTCGCGGGGAGCCAATGGATACAGGTAGCAACTTGTTTTTTTGACGTGGAGAACTAAGGGGGAGACTTCTCTTTGTTTAGCAGCGGACGTCTTCCGGCTGATGATGACTCACAGAAAATCGACTTGGGGAGGGTTTCCCTTATCCCGAAAAGGTCGGCAACGCACTTGTAACTCCTTTGGTCTTGTGAATATGAATGGGCGGCACAGATTGCTTACGATCAGGTAACACAAAATACATATGTATTTTTACTTGCAACACCGTCCAAATACCTGTACCAAACAAAGTCGTTACGGTCTCTATTCAAAAGAGACCGTAACGATTTTGTTTGGTATAATATAAAGCTGTAGAATATCATTATATTTTTTTTACATTAGTATCATTTAATTTCTCTCTTATGTATCCCACTAATATGAAAGTCCTGTTAGTTACACTGTTAATAACTTGAGAACGGCTGAACCGATATCGATGTTCGATTCTCATGGTATGGAATGTTGTTTATAAATGGAAGAAGAACATAGGATAAGTAGAGTACGGGAGGTAGGGTTGGTAGTGTAGGGTAGGTAGGATAATAGGGTAGGGTAGGTAGAGAAGAGTAGTTAGGGCAGGGTGGATAGTGTAGGTAGGGTAATGTAGGTACTGGAATGACCGTAGTAAAGCAGTGGGTAAAAACTAGTTTGATATATATAAGTGCACTGAATATCACAGTGGCATTCCATCTTGTAATTGTATTAATGTGCAGAGTGTCGCCAAATGCGGATGTGTGCGTGTCAACCACGTCAGTGTAGTCACGTAGTATGTAGTCATGTCAAACGTCAGTGTAGTATGTAGTCATGTCAAATGTAATACAGGCAACCGTTTTATTTATTTATAAGGGGAAAATACAATTACTTATTTTTATTTACATTATATTGAATACTCTTTAACTATTAAATGGTGTGTACAGATATAATTGGTGCTCAGGTTTATACTATGTGTTTTCTTAACATAATAATATTTATTATATTGTATACAGGGTGTCCGGTAAAGAATGGATAACCGTGAAATGCCTTTTAGTATATCCTTTGGCCATTCAGAAAAAACAAAGAAAAGGAAAGTATCATAGGTAGTACCTAAATTATTATGTCTTGAAGTAAAAGAACTGGGGCTAGAGGTGATACAAAATGATCCTTTAACATTTACGTTCATTACATTACTGCATAACCACGATGATTAAACATTGCTTTAAAAATAAATTTTACACGATTTGTCTATAATAAATTAATTTGCAAGATTTTTATAAAATATTTTTTTTGTAAATTTTTTGAATGGCCATAAGATATGCTCAAAGGTAATGCAAGGTTATCCATTCTTTACCGGACACCCTGTATATGATTTGTATGTGAAATCGTACGTTTGTAAACGCAACCACGATACCCTATTACCCTATCCTAGTGATCAACTCTTCCCTATTCTCTAATATTACTGTAGAATATTAGTAAGTATTTTTTTTTTATGTAATACGTCGGCAAACGAGCAGACGGATTACCTGATGGTAAGCAATCAACGCCGCCCATTGACACCCGCAACGGAGGAGTTACGAGTGCGTTGCCGACCTTTTAGGGATTAGGGATTTGGAGATTTAGGGATTGGGGAAGGGTCCGGGAAGGGGAAGGATTGGGCCTCCGGTAACCTCACTTACACGGCGAAACACAACGCTGTGGTTGTTTCACGCCGGTTTTCTGTGAGGCCGTGGTATCACTCCGGTCGAGCCGACCCATTCGTGCATGGCTCTCCCACACTTAAATGGTATACAGGCTGAAATCGAATAAATGCGACAAAATGAAATGGGAGCTTCAGTTACAGTAACATAGTAATTATAAACTGTTTTTTCTACAATCTAAGACCATAAATAAAATGACGTGATAATCGTTTTAAAATGATCCATTGACGTTGTTATCTTTATTTAAGTATGAATTATCAATATTTCTGAAAAATAATTCATATACGCGGCTCCGATTGCGATGATGTCGATTCCACATTTTTTTCAAGATTTTTTGCAAATTTTCTTTATGTACAAACATTAGCGAACGGCAAACTTCGTACCGCCTTGATTACCGTAATTCAAAAAATGCGCTTTACCAGACATGAGACTGAACTAGATCCTTTTCTCGTCTCCAAATTTCAGCGAAATCGTTAGGGACTTTTCCGAGATCACATGCTTTTTCAAGCAATCAGCGCCACCTGCCAAGGTAATTTGTGAATCTAAACTATCCAGTCAAACGCATACAGAAAAAATCATTTTAATTGGTCTAGCCGTTTAGGAGGAGTTCAATTACTTTCACACGTACAGCGGAATTATAATTATGTACATATAAAAATATTATTTACGTCATAAAATAGAAGATTGAAATCTTTTAAAAGTAAATAAAATACCAATACATAATATAAAACGATAGAGTAAGTACATATAATTTCGTAGCGTGAAGTCATCGTTATTTATTAACCCATTTAACGGTCGCTGGGAAAACCTGGCATCGTTTAATTTAATTTAAGGTCATTCTGACCCGGAATCGAAGCATTCACATTCTTTATAGTGCTATAAATACTCACATTATAAAGGATATTACGCCTTTTATTCCAGGTCGATTCTCGCTTCGGACATGGCATTGTTAGTTCAGTTTTTCTTTTATCGGCTGAAAAATTAATTTACGTTGAACGCCGTGGGGGACACCGTGTGGGCCACGCTAGCGGATGATTTGCCTTCAACAGTTTTCTGTCGACAGTCAAAAACTTAAATGTCACCCTTATTATTATTTCGCATCTTGGTAGAACCTTTTAAATAAAGATTGAAAAAAAAACTTGGTAGAATTTACCTACGTGTTTGTTTTGTAAATACTGGTATTACAACAGTGTAATACAATATGTTCATTTTTCATTATATGAAGCCCAATCCCCCATCCCCAATCCTCAAATCCCTCAAGAAGCTAGCAACGCACTCGTAACTCCTCTGATGTTATAGATGTCCTTGGGCATCTTCGATTGCTTGCCATCAGGTTATCCGTCTGCTCGTTCTGCGCTATAGAGAACAAGCAAGTATTTTTCTACAAACACCGAAACCTTGCAAGTATTTTTCTATGTGAGGAAATATCGTCACATAGAAAAATACATCATCAACAGCTCGTTTATGTCCACTACTGGACAAAGGCTTATCCAATAGCATGTCACTGTGCTTCATCTTCAATCACACGCGTTCAACGAGCTACCGTAAGGATCTCAATACTCCACACCTGTGGGGCGCCCTATATTACGTTCGCCTAGACGCAACATCCATATTTATTTTTCATTACATACTAAGTCTTAGGTAAATTAAAACAAAAAAAATTTTTTGGTATTGTACAAACTCTCTCTCTCTCTCTCTCTAACCATTAATCTATATATTATTATATAAAACAAAGCTGTGTTGTTGAACTCAAGAACGGCTGAACCGATTTAGCTGAAAATTCGTAGGGAGGTAGCTAAGAACTGGAAGAAGAACATAGGATGGGATAGGATAGAGTAGGTAGTGTAGGTTAGGTAGAGTAGGGTAGGTAGAGTAGGATAGGTAGATTAGGGTAGGTAGTCAAATGATGGGAGCGACGCCGCGGGTAAGAGCTAGTAACCTAATACAAGACAAATTTTGGTAAGTAAATAAACTGTATCGCTATTACATACAACATAGTGTGAAAAAGTATAGATTGATTCAAGACGAAGGTGATGATTAAGGTTTGGATGTTTCAAGGTTTACGGACGAAGTCACAGGAAGGAAGTTGTTTAATTTATAGAACAAATATTTTTCACAGAAAAACATTGCTGTTTGTATGTCTTGCTAAAACTATGAAACGACTGGACAGACTTAGCTGTTTTTGCTCTTAAAATATTCGTAAAAGTCCAAGGAAGATTTAAACAAAAAGAAAACATGGATTACAACTATAATAATATATTTAACAACTAAAAAAAGTCACTTGTCTGTAACTGACTTTACCCACATACATGGCAAATAACAATGATATTATAAGTATAGGCTACATAAACAACATTCGATTTTCAAAAACGGCACACTGATGCACGCATGAATAAATCGTATGATACACGTTAAAGTGGGATGGCATGATTCAATAATCGCGAGTGCAAAAGAGACAAATTTGAAAAATTGTGGCTAGTTAGCCACATTTTAATGTATCTCTTGCTTTTTAAAGAACAAAAATGACTTTATTAAGGTTTTTGAGACGGTACAAAGATAACCGGGACTTACATCTTAAAAAACATACTTAAGTAAAATATATTAATAATCAATATATTAAAATAGGTTATAGTCGTGATGGCCCGTATGTTAAAGCGCCCGCTTCTCATGCATGTGGGTGCGGTTCCGAAACCTTGCAAGTACCAACATGACTTTTTTCGAATTATATGTACCTACTTTCTATGATATTTAGGCCCCACTGACATAAGGTGAAGGAAAACATCTGAGGAGACCTGGACTTGTGACGTCAATCCGCCTTGGGCACGCGTGGTGATTAATACTCAAACTTTCTCCGTGTGAGAAGATGCCTTTGCTCAACATGATGCAAGGCTAGAGTGAATTGGCTCTTAATAAACTAGTGCGCCTTACCATCAACGATTGCATCACTGCTTACCATCAGATGGGATCGCAGTCAAGCACTAGTTTATAGCAAGTAAAAAAAAACAGAAAGCACTTACAGGCTGATGATGATATATTAAAATGTGCAATTCTGACTCAATCTTCTTGAAATAAAACGTTATATGTTCGTGAATGTATGACCTTTGACCTTTCGCCGAATGAAACCTAAAGGCAGGCATCTATAGCACGCTCCTACTTATCTCTACAGATATCAAGGGATCCTATTACCATATTGAGTTCATAGAAATAAGGTTAAAGGTTGAAAGTCCGATATATTACCATATAACGTTCAATATCATAGAATTCCCCTAAGGGTAAATCTGTGATGTGTGATGAGAAAAGGTATGTATATATATTTTCTTTATAAGATAGAGCGGCAAACGAGCCGACGGATTACCTGATGGTAAGCAATCAGCGTCGACACTGGTACAAGTAGCGGTTCTAAACAGTTATGTTTTCATCGAGTCATACTTATACCTTTTTTTTTGAGGGCAAAATCATCGAATTCTTTCGCCTAAGGTGAGGCGAGAAGGAATGTCCTGTGTAATGTGAATGTTGACTTATAAAGGAGTTCCTTTGTAATCCCATAACAATGTCTATTATTGTTTATATCATTAACAATATAACGTCTTATAGAAGTCTAGTAAAGGCTTTTAACTGGCCAAAAAATAAAGCAATATTTGGAATTAGGATTTCAGTAACCACACTCACACGGCGAAACAAAACACTGTGAGGCCGCGGTATCACTCTGGTCGACCCATTCATACCAAAGCTTGGCTCTCCCACAGTTAGAGTTATGATGGAAAAAGGTAATCGGTCAAGGTATGTTACGGCTACCGTACCGTACCAATCACAGCAATGAATAGTAGGTAAGCTTTGTAACGATAAGCAGATTAAAAAAGGGCCTTTGATGGGGTTGGTTTTGGTTTAAATTATTTTACAGAATTTACACTTTCAGGAGTATATGAATACACTACTAAGATGAAAACTTGTTAAAATGAGTTATTAGTGTTTTTTTTTTTTTTGTGAGGGGAAAATCATCAAATGACTTCTCCCGCCCAGGGCCGGGCAGGAGGGAGTGTCAGACTCTTACTGACTAAAAACCCCCCTGTTCCTTCTCCTGCTTTGTGCCGAGGTCGCGGTGCCTCATTGCGCTTACCCCGCAACCCCGGGGAGTTATTAGTCTAAGCCCTATAACGTACAACGATCCTGGCCTGCAACAGGAGAAGGAATGGGGTGGTTTTAGTTGGTAATAATCTGGAATACACTCAGAACGGGAGAAGTCATTTGATGAGATTCAGCCTCAATAAAACAATACGGTAACATTGAAAACGAATTTGTAAATGGTCAAACAAAACTCTAAGAACATTTAAATAGCCAAGAACTCCGTCGTCACAATAATTTTCAGACAAAACAGTTGATTTACTCATTTAACATACAATTATAAGCTACAAAGGCGTTCAGAGTGCAAGCGGACGCGATCACGTGACCTTGTCGCGATGACGTCACCCCGCAACCCGCCCACTCGTGCGCGCGCGCCTCGCATTCATTAACGTAGCACGGATCTATATTCTGTAGTCTGTAGCATATTATCTTTTGAGTTTCTTTTTTTAAATATTATATCGGGTAGTCTTTTGGCCTGTCGTTTTTCTTTTATAATATCATATTGTTCATGATATTTTATATAGATATGTCCATCAACAGCTTGTAGACGAAGACTCTCTCTCTCTTTTTCTTTGGCTGCTGGTATATGGGCTACTTCTCAATAAAATAATGGCTTGTTATAACCTCCACGCTTGTTGATAAACAAGCAAGGACTTAGAGACAATAAGCGATAAAGAGTTAAGGAATATTATTGAGGATACTATGAAGAACGAATGGTACTATTTCTACGTTTAAATCCTGAACTGATTTTGAAGTGTACAGGTCTTTGAAGAAAGGTAATTTTAACAACAAGTATCTAAAAATTCTAATAACAATTTCTAAAAAAAATCAATTTTAATGTGAATTTTGATTTATTTAATCTAAAATATAAAATGTTTTATGAAGAAAATCTTTACTTGTGAACCCGTTTTTCTTGAACATCATTTTCTCTTTCAC